TTATCACATACTCAAGAGAGCTATATAATTCTTTTATAGTAGTATATCAGGGAGTCAGAGGGGCTTCCCAACAAGGCTACCACAGTTTCTGGAGCATATAGCAAGCGGCCTTGCCAACATGCTAAATTGACCCAAGCTTTGTTCCTAGGTCAGGGGGTGTACAGCAGCAGCCTTGTCAACATGCTGAACCAACCAAAGCTATGCTCAAAGGTCAAAGGCTCAAAACAGATCCTGGGGCCCCACCAGGTTGGACTCCTCCATCTTAATATGTGACTTCAGTTTACATAATAAAGGCCAAAGGCTTTGACAAAAAATCAAAATATCTCAACCAACTGTTAAATTATTTTGGCCTAAAACAGCCACTGTACTCCCATACTTTGATTCCTATGGATAAGCCAAAATCATACATGTGTAGGCTGTTTTTCCTGAGCTGGTTGCTAAGTTACAGCCAATCACAACAGCTAAGCTTCATGTTAATACAGGCAAATTTAAAAATAAAACCAATAATTTCTCTACCTCACTTCCTTACTTAGGTTTTTTGTATAACACTTCCCTGTTCTGCCAACTTAAATCCCCAGTTGACCACAAAGGTTGGCCAGAGTTGTCCAGAAGTCCAGAGACAACTGCCTGACTTAAATCATGTTAAAATTTACTTTATTACAACTCTACTCTATTAAATTGGCTGGTTTATTTTTCTTTTAATGAAACATTTGATTGAATTGATACTAATCGTCAAATAGTCTGTGGCCATCCATTGCTCAAGCTACAATGCTGAAGGTTAACAGGAAGTTATTGACCTTTTTAATCAAATTTTTTCTTCAAAATAACTTTGTCAGCTTTTAATGCTTAAACATGTTAGTGCCTAAGCATTAAATACAATTACAAAGAGCCCCATCATGCACCATCATGCACTTTATTTTAAAAACATATTGGATGGCACCAGCAGGTAGCATGGTGGTTAAGTTGCTATATTCCCACATGACCCACCATGATTAGAGTCTCAGATACAGAGGCTTGAAATTTATGCTAGCCATGTGTGCAAAATCCTGAGAGAATAGAAGGGATTGTGGCAGGTCCATCCCCTTGGGGGAAAGTTTCTCACTTTCCCTCTGTCTTTCTCTCTCCAGGGAGCACATGTGCCCTATGGAAAAAAAAAAACCCTAAATATATAAATATTGGGTTGTTGGAAAAGTCATGAAGAATATACATCATGACTTATTTTTCATGACTTTTCCAGGAAGTATGTGTGTGTGTGTCTACACATACATACAAATTACTTAAATAACATTTTAGCATTCGTATTTCTTTCTTTCTTTTTTTAAAATTATTTTAACTTTATTTATTTTATTTTTATTATTTATCTATTTTTATTTTACCAGAGGGGGGGGGAGAGAGAGAGATTGGAGGGAAATTGAGAAAGCAAGCTGCTGGGTCCAGGACTCAAACCACGGTCAGCCATGTGGGAGTCTAGCACCTTAACCACCACGCCACCTGCCAGCCCCACGTTTTTATTTCTTTGCTGTTAATAAAAGGTATCTGCTATTCCTTTGTTGATTAAAATTTGAGATGTTTTATTCTTCGATCTTTCCATACTCCTATTCTTTTAGAACAGTTTCACTGAAAACACTTAGAGGAAAATAACCAAATATTAAATTATTAGTGAAAGAAAGACTTGAAACAAATTTTAAATATAATATTCTGTCTATAAATGGAAGTGCGAACTTGAGATTTATTGTGAAACTAAATCAATAAATGGAGGATTCTTTCTTTTTATGAGAAAGATAGAAGACATACACACATACATGGGGGATGAGAGGGGTAGGGTTTTTTTTTTAAGAATTATTTTATTATACTTACCTGACAGGGGAGATACCATGATCACGAAGGTGGTTTTCCCAGGGCGAGGCTTATCCATTGCACTCCAGATGTGCTGACCCCTGCGATTTCCCCAAATGTGGGAAACTCGACTGCATAATTTGTGGTAGTGGGGGACTGCGTTCGCG